ACACTTGGTCGAATAAATCCTTTTCCTAACAACTCTTGCAATTGATTCTTTAACTCTTGCAATTCTTTCGGAGCCATCCAATAAGGTGCCATTGCAATTGGAGCGGTTCCTGGCATTATCTCAATTTGAAATTCTACCTCTCTATCTGGAGGTAATCCTGGCAACTCAGCCGGGAAAACTTCAAGGAATTCTTGAACTATTGGAATCTCCTCTAGCCCTTTCTCTATAGCTCTTAAATCTATCACATTTGTAAGAAATCCTTGACATCCCTGTAGTAATAGCTTCTTAGCTGACATTACTGATATTACATTTGCTAAGGGATTAAACTTTTCACTGCTCACACTTATCTCTGTTCCTCCTGGACTTTTCAGGGTTACCTTTTTCAATCTGCAATTAACATCTCCATAGTAACGGAATAACCAATCCATTCCCAGAATCACTTCAAACTCGTCAAAGGGTAATTCCATCAGATTAGTAGGGAATTCAATTCCCTGAACCTTTATGGGACACCCCTTATAGACTTTATTCACCCGAGCACTATGGCCTAACGGAGTTGTTACTATAATCTCATTACTCGTAGCTTTTAAGGGAATCCTCAATTCATTTACTAACTTACTTGTAATATAAGAATAATTAGAACCCGGATCAATCAGTACCAATACTAATTTATCATACAACTGAAAAGTACCTGCTATAATATCAGGGTCATCACGGTCTTCACTTGTCTTTAGATTGTACACTCGTGCGGTTGATCGAACTTCAGGTTGAGCAGAGAATTCAGACGGGTTCCTTCCTCTGCCTCTTCCTCGTCCTCTTTGTAAGGAAGAACCAACTCTTTCAGATGGTGCAGGCTCACCAACAATCAATGGACAATCCCAGATAAAATGTCTGGCATCTCCGCATCGAAAACAAGTCCCAGTAGCCATCTGAAAAGCCCCAGAATGGTTTTTCCCACAGTGCTGACACTGTCTCGCTTGACTCGGAGTAGATCTCCCAGCACCAGATCCCACTGACTGCGCCTGTCTAGTTCTTGCCTGACTTGCTCCCCTAGCAGACGATGCAACTGATTCTGATCTAGCTTGTGATCGAAATCTTGAGTCTCTTCCCCTTTTGATGGTACTGAGCTAGAAGAAGCACCCGTTCTCTTTGATGTCTGAACTCTAAAATCCCCAAATCTCTCATTTTGAGCTCTTTCAAGAGCCTTGGCACGATTGATCACCTCTTGGAACGAGGACAAATTCAATACTATCAGCATCTCTTTCAATCTAGGGCGTAAACCCTCCACAAACCATTCACAAGCCTCTTTTTCAGTAGGCACAAGCTCGGATGCAAACCTACTCAACTTGTTGAACTCACATTCATACTCATATACAGAGCGGATCATCTATTTCAAATTCAAAAACTCATGCTTCATCTGTCGAATAAATTGATCTCCAATGTACTTGTTTTTAAATTCATCTAAGAATAAAGACCAAGTCAATTGGTCACTGGGTATCCTCATGGTGACGTTCGTCCACCATATTCTCGCCTGACCCCTCAACAACGAGACAACTCCATCTAACTTCTCCACTTCAGAACAATGGAGACCATCCAACATGATTAAATCATTTAACCAAAGATCTGCCGCAACCGAACCTTCTTCGGTTTCTCCCTTAAATTCGAGAGCTCCTAAACCTCTCAACTCTTTTGCTACATTCATCCTTTGAGTTGGTGGAGCAGGAGGTTGAAGACGCGTTAGAATAGCGTCTAACGTTCTGAAGAACATATCTTGATCTTGCACAGGCACTCCTTGAGATGCATGTTCTTCACCTTGCCTGGCCAGGGCAGGTGAATTACTGCTTTCAGCAAGCCTATCTTCTCCCGCTTCACTTCGGGAGCTATTATGTCCGGACATCTAATAAGAATAAACACATTGTTCTATTAGCAAAACAGCATACTCATACTATACCAGATCAGAAGTTCTCACTATTTGTTGGCATGTATTCCATTTAAAGACTCTATAGACTCTGGTTTATGCCTAGAATCGGCTAAACCATAGCTCTGATACCATTAAATGTAACACCCCCAACCCGTATCCCAACCCGGATACGAGTCAGAGATATTACTTTGACTTTTAAAACACAACTCATTACAAATAATAGTAAAAAACTTGAACTTATATTACGAAAAATACAATAATATGCATATGGTAATATAAGTTTACCAAAATATTCAGAGCATACACAACTTAACTCTTTAATTACATGCCAACATCCATTTTCATAACAAAATGACCTACTGATTAAGTTGTTTCTGATCTGATAGTTGCAGGAGTAATGTTGTCCAGCTGCTTAACCTCGATCGTCTACTTTATCGGATCCTACGTGTGAAACACTCACACGCTAAGTCATCGACTTAGTGAGGCAATAATATAATAATATATAATAAATAAAGTAATTACCAAAATGAGATGGGTTGCTGTAATAAGATGTATGTAAACAATGCAATAACCAAAACCATGTTTCTTACACATATGCTTATCAAATTCACATTCATAAGTTCGCCTTAGTAAGTTCATTAGCTCATGGTACCATACAGAGAACCTAAGGTATGTGAGTATTGTGAGGTTGTGCACTATGCTATCACCACAGCTCATATAATTGCACCTAAGTGCCACGTAGAATTGCACCGAAGTGCCGCGTAGAATTGCACCGTAGTGCCATATAATAATGTCCATAAGGACCACATATCATTCCTTAAGAATCATATACATATGCCAAGGATCAAGTATGTGTCTCACCAGACTCCACACATGTTCCAAAGAATACATATATGTCCCGAAGGACCACGTATCATTCCTTAAGAATCATATACATATACCAAGGATCAAGTATGTGTCTCACCAGACTTCACACATGTTCCAAAGAATACATATATGTCCCGAAAGACCACATATCATTCCTTAAGAATCATATACATATACCAAGGATAAAGTATGTGTCTCACCAGACCTCACACATGTTCCAAAGAATACATATATGTCCCGAAGGACCACATAGACCCTCTACCCTTGGCATGCCAACTATACCTATAGTTCTCATTTACATAACATGGGCTTTCACAATTTATCTAATTCATATCACGTAGACATATTATTTCCATACCTTTATCATATAACTCATATAACTTTTTCTTTCATATTCATGTCCCATAATGCATATGGTATGGATTCATGTCATATATCATAATATGAACTACGATAATGTATCAAAATATTGAATATAGACTTATCACAAGTCTATAACTGAATAAAATACATATTCATGCTATGCATATGCACTCACCTAGATTTCTTTGTTTTTCCCTCGATTGATCCTACTTGTTGATGGTTCCGGAACTCGATTAGGCTCAATATCTACATAAGCAAAATTTTCAAGATGATTATCAGATGCCTAAGTCTTGAAATTAACCTCTAATAGCCTACCAATTTAAGAAATTGATAGTTTAGTCTCTCTTCTTTCTTTTCTCTTTTTTCTATTATGGGGGAATCAATTCCCCCCTGGGGGTATCGATTCCCCTCTAGCGTTCTGGAAATTCATATTCGTTTGAGGGGGTATCGATTCGCCTTGAATGGGTATCAATTCCCCTAGCCCAGAAATCCTATTTTGAGCTCGAAAATCACTTCATTTCAACTTAAACCTTCATATTTTACTTCCTTTAATATTCCAAACTTCCATATACCTATTTAAACTCATTTCTATTCCATAATCACTTCTTTAAACCCAAAATTCTATCATTTACATGGTATTCAAGAATCACACTAAATTTTCAAGGTGTTCTAATTCCAATTTTAACACTTCATATCCCTTAATTAACTTGATGACAAGTCAAATCTCACTTCTAATTCTTATTATGAACTCTAATCTAAGATTTCACTTTTCTACTTCCTTTCTTTAATTCTTCATATACTTCTCCTCTTGAGGTTTTAAAACAATTTAAACTTCCTTTAAGCTTAACTATTGCCTAATGGTCATGAATCAACCATAAATTCATCAAGAAATTCACTAACAAGAAAATCTTACCTTAGCTTGGGTATCACGTATGAAGAAGAAGAAAGAAGAAGATGACTCTGGAAGCTTGTTTTAATTTCCTATACATACACGTGGTTAATATAATACTAACCCTAAAATTATATTGCTATAAAATGACCATTTTGTCCTTCTAATCTTCCTTCTTTATAATTCAATCCTACACAAAATAACTCAAATAAGTCATTGAACTCTTCCATCATTCTACTTAAATCACCAAATGCTGAAACTTTACAAATTAATCACTAACCCAGCATGGAGGATGTTACACTTACTCCCTAAATACAAAAACCAATTCAACCCCTCTTGGCAAACTCTTTCGGTTGTCAATTCGAGCTTCCGCAAATCCCAACACATATATATATCAATACATTTCTATGTGATTTTTTATTAAAAAAATACAATACATACATATTTCTTTCATATGTGATATACATATATCATACAGAATTGAAAGACTCGATTTAAACTTAAAAATTCATCCATTAAATACTAAAAATTTCGAGTTATTTGAGTTGTAAAATACAACTCGATTTGAACTTGAATATTTTTCGAATCAAATCAAATTTATGAAATTACAACTCAAAGTCATTTCGAATCGAATAAAAAATCAATTTTTCGAGTCGAGTCGAATTTTGTTCACCCTACTTTGAAGTAATGAGTCATGACATAAACTGTATTTGAGTGGTCCAAATGAGCTGTCTCTATGCTTTTTTCATGTGCCTAAATTCCATGTTTGATTCTAACAAAGATATACATAAAACCATTAGCTCTTATTCGATTTTTATTCATTTTTAATGTTTCTTTACAAAGACAAACTCTCATTTTCATTTTCAACCTATACCATAAACAAATATCCAAAAAGAAAGAAACAGATCTACATACAGAAGAACTATTCTTCTGTTGAATCTGTGCATGAGTGCTTGGTCTTTTATCAAAAACGAAAAGACCAGCACAAAAACATCAAAACCAGATAAATATGTAAGCAGATGCTGCAAATTTGGAAGTAGTAGCTATGATTTTATACATAGACAGATAAACAGACAAATAAAAAAAGCAGGAAAAAAGATAGTTTATCGTCTCGAAGATCCGAACATTTGATCAAGAAGGATGACGAGAGCCATGGCAAAGTCCGTCCTGATATGATCAGGCTGAACAACAAGACGGAAGATGTCGGTTCCGTAGGCAACTCCTTTAACAGCTTCTTTTCTCTTTATCTCCGCTACTAATCTCCTACTGTCATCGTATACGGAACACGATCGTTGCGAATACGAGCCTTCGATATAGAAAACGATGTTGTTTCGGTTTGTGGTAGTGGTGGTGTTGCCAGGGATAACGTAGGCCAAGCAGTTTTTGTTTATGATGTTCATCGATTTCCTCACACGAAGTCTGGGATTCACAAAGGTTTCTCCTTCGAAAACCAACCAGCTATCCCCCAGGCTCATTTTCTGACAAAAAAAACGTCGAAACATCATCATCATTCGATCCAAAAACATTAGCCGAATATGGCGAAACAAATTTTTTTAAAAAAAGGTACCTTGCGGCGGATGGTGAGAAGAGGGTTGCCGGTGGCATCCATGAGAAGAATCTCGCCCTTGTGGCCGTCCATGTAATTATCCACCCTGAACACCAAATTACCTTTACTATCAAACACCGTGAATCCATTGCAGTTGAACAGCAAGGACTTTTTCCAGACGGTGAGAATCGTCTCCTCCGTATCAGGCTTTGATAACAACTTCGGCTGCTGCCTGTGGGAGACGCCGGTAAAACTAGCATTAGGGTAAACCCTAGTCATTCTTGTAAAAGTTTCCAGCCGTTTAACACTAGTTCGGAAACAAGATGGCATGCCAAAACCAACAGTAAATCTCAACAACTCAAGATGGCAGAGAGAAGTTTGGAACTAGCTTGGTTTTTGAGTGGAAGAGTTAGGCAGATAGAAAGTATTATATAAAGGAGAATAGCAGCACCTCATGGGACGGAAATATATAGTTGAAAATGATGAAAGGGAAAGGGGTGAATGGGATTGGATGATGTGCAAATGAGCCATCGGCGCATTTTGGGGAATAAAAGTTCATAACTTTGCTTCAAAGCCAGCCATAATTATTCCATATTTTATTCCATTGTGTTTGGTAGTGTTAAAAAAAGGTTAAAATTTGTGGCTGAGAGACAAAATGCGGTGGCGGCGATGGCCACTGACCAATGCTTTTGTTTAGATATTTTTCTGACGATGAGAGCATTGTTTAATAAGATAGGAGTACGTGTATTTATGATATTATGATTAATGACCTTATAATGATAATGTGTATAAGTAATTTGATTGGAGCAGAACGGCGATTGCGACGCCCCCATCTCCCCTTGAATGTCATATTAATATATCAGCATGCACGTTTAGATAAGGTTTCTGCACTCAACCCTTTGGTTTGGAAAAATAATACAACCACTCTGAATAATAAAAAGTTCCACAACTTTCCTCCAAACCCATGTATTGTAATGAGCGGTCCACGAGTTAGACTTAAAAAATTTTAAGTTATCCGAGTGGATGATTTTTAATTTTTAATTTAATTAAATTATAAAATATTTTAAGTCTTGAGTTGAAATTTTAAATCTATGTTTAAATTTATAATTTATAATATTACGGTGTTATTTAATTTTATTTAAATAATTTTGTATACTCACGTAATATATATCTTATATTTTTATATGCGATAAATTTAAAAAAGAAATCCATTAATTTTTAAATTATTTCAGTTACTATTTGAATTATTCGACTTATATTTTATAAGTCAACTTAAATTTAATTTTTTAATTTAATTAAATTTATAAAATTGTAATTCAAAATTACTTTCAAGTCGAATTTACGAGTTAGATTCGGAATGGAGAACTGAAAAAGCTAAACTTAAAAAGAGGTGATTTTCGGGCGTTATTACTTAAAAAACCGTAAAACAAATTTAGAACAGAGCCTCAAGTTAGATTTGTTAGAAAATACCAAGTTAGATTTGTTAGAAAATACCAAACCAAATTGCAAACAAAGGATTACCGTCCGTCTTAAGAAAAGCATGAGTTTCCTTAATCTTTTTTAAATTTAATACAATCATTATTTTTATTGTATAAAATAATAAAATAACAAAAAAAGTATATGTTATAAATAGACAATACTAATTAAAATTAAAATTCAATATCTATGTAAAATGTTACAAAACAAAATTGTTTCATAGTTCCAAAAACAAGAATCATAAAAAGTACATAGATTGTTATAGTCCATTTGTCAAACTTGGTGGTATGAATTACGCGGATAGTTGTTAGGACAATTGTAAGCTTCGATTTGTTCTGGAAAAACAATGTTGTGACGACTCCACGACATTAAGCCTAAAAACGGATCTATCTCCGAACGAATAACATCTAAATTTATTTTCTTAGAATAGGCAATATTGAGAGCTTTCATGATTCAAAGTCTTTCATCTCTTAATTTGCCCCCAGAACAAATTAGAATAAGATCATAGACATATATGGCGTTAATATTACCTTTATCGGTTGCTTTCTTCAAACAATGCATATCGAACACCGAGTTTCTTCCTCTAAAATAATTATAAATGTTATCTAGAAATAAAGCTTCATGATTATTAGCATCAAGACATCTTTCATTAAACGTTTTCTCAGCTTGATTCCATGGTATGATGTCAAAATTTTTTAATTGAAATATTTTGAAAAATGTAATTATGATTCGTAACTTCATGAAAAATCTTGCAACTCAACTGTGTATTGACGAAATCGACGATAGAATTAGAAGCCACATGCACAAGAATAGCTAGGTCACTCGCATTCTGTACACAAGGTTGAAGAGTTGTATCAAGAATTGAGACAACATATATGATCAAATGACAATGAACTTGACTGAGGCGGTTAATTCATCACTGAAGTGAGTGTGACATTTGACTATCACTTCCGTTGTCAAAGCGACATATTATTGGTTAGTAACCTTGTTTACAACCTTAGGAAGACAAGCAGTTAACTAGATTGCAAGTGGCCACACAATCCACGCAAACCTCCACACAAAATTGCAAACATTTCTGCAGCACTCAAACGCGATGAATGTGACATACGTCTCGCGAACAAAATAAATTTCATGTTTCGGAATATTCAAGACCATTGGAAGGCATACAACACAAGACATAGATTTTTAATATACATGATAGAACCTACAACTGCAAAGTATTCCAAACATTCAAATACCCGTGTCTACACGTCATTGCTGCTTATTCTTTTGTACGGATTGACTGCATGCAATTTGTTGATTCTGTGTAGTTACTTGGAATCGTATTCAATGTGTATCAATACGAGTTTCTTCCCATTAGAAATGATAGGGATTAGGATGAAGTTGATAATGAACCTACAATATGGCTATATTTTGTACTATGACGTGAAAAAAGGGGTCGTCCACGATCAACGAGGGTTTACTGTAACGAGGATTTGGTTAAACATCGAGAAAGAACCAGACAGCTGAAGTTATGCAATATTTATATGAATCTCAGACACTCGAAGAACAAATACCCTAATCGATCACAACATTATATCGATTAATTTGTTTTAAACGAAGACATTTTTATATTTTAAATATATCATTGAATCAAATAATGTTAAAATTTGTTTAAAGTATTAATTTGTTTAAGTTGTTCTTCAATAATATGATTTTTACCCCACCCAGAACATGTCTATCAAGTCATGTTAGTTTCTTCATGTAGAAAACCAAAGCTTGGAACCATTTTGAACGGGATTTTAACCCCATTTATAATGTCTCATATGTGTTATATTACCCTGAATTGAAAGATATGCTACAATACTACACCTCTAATCTTATAAATTACGAATTGTTTTAGATTAACAACTTGAAAATCCCTCGAATATGTCTATCAAACCATTTTAACATTTTCTTCATATACAAAACAAGCTTTGGAACTATTTTCAACGTGATTTTTAAACGCTTACAATATCTCATAAATTACGAAAGATAAATTTTAATGGACAGTTCTGCGGTGCGGTGCCTTAGTATACGGCTAAAATAAACCGATTTTTTATTATTTTAAATAACAAAACCGGTAAAAAAATGACCGAAAACATCATTTTTGACCGGTTATAATTACATATATAGGTAAACGCGGTAAAAAAATCCCGTCAAAAAATGATGTTTTCGGTAAAGCGCTACCTAAACATCATTTTTTTACTGGATTTTTTTACCGCGTTTACCTATATAGGTAATTAGAACTGGTCAAAAAAAATGATGTTTTCAATCATTTTTTACCGGTTTTGTTATTTGTTATTTAAATAATAAGAAAACTGGTACCGCCTTATTTTAGCCGTATACTAAGGCACCGCACGTGAGCGTTTCCCAAATTTCAATACTACACCCTTAATCTTATAAATTATGAAAACTTTGAGATTAAATACTTGAAAATACCCCTAAAACATGCTTATAAGCACTTACGATTTGGGCTTAAAATCTACATCCCTCATGTTTTGTATAACGTGAGGTATGTTAAATATCACACGCGATAAATTTCTCGGGTCGTTTGAATATATGAGAGACCTCGTGTTTTGAATAACGTGAATTCATTAATTGAAATATTAAATTGTATTATTTGAAAAGTGTATCTACGTTGGAGAAAACTCGCACCCCATACAATGCTCGACATTGACTCACGAGACAATCATACGTGTATAATTTGGAGTATTTTTTTATCAACCTGTTTTGGGTATTGTTCCAAAAAAATAATTTTTGGGCTTTCTAATGTAATAACGCTCGATTTCCAACTCTTCAACAGAAATTTTTAAATTTTTTATTAATATTTTATATGTCTAAATATATGAATATGACCAATTTTTTTAATTTATTTAGGTAGGTTTTCCTTGCACTTTCTTTGAGGTACGAGAGATTAAAAATGTTAAGATAAATTATATATTTAATATCTAAATTACCTATCTTTGTTAATTTTAATATTTATTTTTATTTTTTTAAATTATATTTAAAGTTTAATTTTTGTTTTAATTTAATATCTCTGTTCAAAATTTAACATTAAATTTAAAAAAAAATAAAGGTTTAAACACGTAGGTTACCCAAAATATTAAAATGACAAAAAAACCCATTTTTTACGTATCGTAGTTCTTAATTAACGATATAAGTATTTATATATTTATTTTAACTAATTATATAACTAATTTGTTTAACTAACTCTCTACAGTCCTTCAAGTCAACGGTTAAAATGTGTTTTCCATCATCAACTTGTATATCAAGTAATTATTTGTCTCTAACCCTGGTATTATTAGGATAAATTACACAATTCATCATTAACTTTCTCATTTTTCATATTTTAATCACTGAAGTTTAAAAGTTTTTAATTTAATCACTCAACTTTGAACATTGAATTTTTTTGTCATTATACCGTTTTCTCTCTAACCATGGTATGACATGATATTTTTTTATTAATTTTTAAACTGCCATGTAGGAAACAATAAATATTTTATTAATTTTTTTTATTTCATACCCGCTTGAAGTCAAAGATGACCCAAGTATCACCTCCACACATTCAACCTCCATCGCCATCGCTCAACCCATTGTTTCTCCAATCGTCAATCCTTTCACAAAATCTTATAATCTAAATAGTATTTCAAACTAAATTTCAACCACCACACAATACCAAAATATAAATAAAAACCAGAAATCAACAATCAAAAAAAGGAAAAAAAATCCTACCAAGTTATTGGAGCACTGACTTGTTGAGAAGATCCATATAGAGAGCATTTGTTGGTTGATTGGTGATGACAGATTCTGGAGTGAAAATATAGTTGTATGATGT